GCACGTGTGGCTAGTTGTATCTTCATTGTAACTGTAATAACTAATAATTACTAATAAAAAGTCCCCAGGCCAAGAAGATCACCTTAATACTGAAAAAAAAAAAAATTTAAAACTAAAAATAACAGTGTAAAACTAAGTTTTAATACTTTTTAGAAAAGCAATAATGAACCCAAAGTAGTTCTTGTATAAAAAATAGAATAAATAGATAAGTAAACTTATTTTTATATAAATCTAAGTTAATTTTAAATATATTTAACTACTACAATTTTAAATACAAATAGGAATAATTTAGAAATAATCTAGCAAAGTATATTTATTAAATAAATTAAGAAGAATTAATATAAGCACTTAAAAATAAAATTTTATTAAAAATATATAAGCGAATAAGAGATTATAATAATATTAATATCTTGCATTCCAGCAGATAGAATTTGATAAATCTTATACTATTTAATTTGTTTCATTGAGACAAATCAAATGGTATAAGATTTATTAAATTCTAACTACTGGATTATGTGATATCTTTGATTTGGTGAATAAAGATTTTTTGAACATGGTTGTATACATATAATTTTGATTTACTTAGTTGTAGCCCTTCGCAATATAAAATATCACTAATTAAAATCAAAAATCAATTTACAGAATTGAAATAATAATAAATTACCATGTACATATCTATAAAATTCAATACTAGAAAGAAAAATTGAATTCACATAAGACAAATCAATACTCAATTTTTACTGTTACTGTATTATCAAAAAAAAAGACAATAATTTACAAATATTTGCTTTAAAAAAAATGCAAAGCCCTATGCTTTTTTTTTTATAAATACAACATAAAATTGATAAAAATTTTTAGGGGAACAGCACTAGAACTATTATGTAATATTCTAGTAAAAATAACTTGAAAATAAATATCAAATAAATGTTAATGTTATTAATTAATACAGTCAAATCTTTCTATAATCACCTTCTATATTAGCAATTTTTTATAATTGTATTTTTTTAAAAATAAACTATTATTTAATATAATAAAATTTAACCTTTATAATTGTTACATTTCTTTATAATTAAACCTTTTGAATCTCAATTGTGTGATTTAAGGAGTTTAACTATATTTGACATTTAAAAATATAATTAATTTTATTATAATTATAAATTATAATATAAATAAATAGATTAATTATTTGTATATATATTAAAGCTTTTAATCTTCAGTAATATCAAGCTTAATTTGAGTAGAATCTACTTAAGACAAAGCTAAATAAACAATTAATTGGTTAAATTATATAATTTAAATGTTAGTTAAAAATAGGGATGTTAACTAGTTAAAAACTAGCTATATTAGTTACAAACTGGCAGTCAACTACATAAACTAATTTAACTAGTTATATAAAACTAGTTATAAAATTTACATAACTGATTATTAAAAACTAGTTAAATTTAAGTTAAATTAACTAGTTAAATTATTGGTAAGAATTTTGAATAGCTTAAATTAAATATATAAGTTTGTTTAAAAAAAATATTGGTTTTTTCTTATTTAAAAATTAAAGATTTAGTTAATAGTACTTAGCTTTGTATTATACTAATATGGTCAAAAATATTCTAAGCTAATAAGATACTAAAGTCAAGTACTAATATAATAATATTATTAAAAAATTGGTATTAAACAGTTATAATTTTTATAAAATAGAAATATATATAATAGTAAATTAAAAATTGCACTTTTCAAATAATAATTAAATTTAGCTAAAATCATAATACAAAAAGCAATTGAATAATTATTTATTTGCTATTTTCTGTTATATATTTATATTTAATTATCTTTTATATATTTAATTATCTTTTATATATTTAATTATCTTTTATATATTTAATTATCTTTTATATATTTAATTATCTTTTATATATTTAATTAAACCTGCTGCATATCAAGTTTTAAGGCAAAAAGCTGCACATGCCTTTTTTGGATCTATCCAATTATTAGTTAGGCTAATAGTAAATTTTGCAGTACTAAACATTTGTTTACTTGCAATACTTGTTGCTTGAACAACTAAGTAATCACATACTATGCAAACAAGTAAAGCCCAATGAGGATCTAAGGATTTGGCTTTCTAATATATAAGAATATCAACTTCTTCGATAAGTAGATTTAGATATTTTTTAAGAAGATCATCATTATCTACAAACATATCATATGATTACTTCTAAAAGTAATTTCGTGAAGATCCATATTGTAGACAGTTAATTTTTATTTATTTTCTTTTTCTTTATTTTCTCTATAACTTATTATTATTATATTATTTTATTTATTATTATCTTTTATATACTCTACTATCTATATTTTACAAAAACGCCTATATTATACTATTAACTTTATATAGTATATATATTTGTGTAACTTCGGGACCAATTTTCTCAAACTTTTATTAAGACAATCTCAAAAGTGATTTTATAGAACTCTAGTATTTTGACTTGTAGAACAACTTTTGTTAATAGACCTTTAGCTCTTAATATAATAAAATCTTTTGTAAATCAAAGATTTTCCAAATTATTCTTTAATTTTCTAATGTGTAACATGTAATTTTAATTATGGTACAAAGGATTGTAATCTGTGTATCACATAACCTTATACAAAAATTAGCCTCAAAACATTATAAATAGACCCTCTCTCCTATCTTTTGCAAAATAACTTTTACATTTTACCTTTTTTTGGTTATATCTTTCTTATACAGTCAACCCTCTATAATTGCACCCTCTTGGGACCAAATATAGGGGTTCATTTATAGAGGGCGTGCATTTAAAGAAAAATAAAAATTTTATAATAAATTATTTATAAAATAGTAAATTTTACATCTTATTTATGATAATTTAATTATTATATATTATATATATATGTAATTCTCATTATTTATATTTGTTTTATTGCTGTATTTATTTATTACTGTATTTATTTATTAAACTACAGTCTATATACAGTGATACAGTATATATGTATTTTATTTAAAATACATATCTATGCTAGTTTGTGACATCAAACTATTTCTTTTTTTTCTAGTAAATTTTTCAAGATTATCTACTAGTTTTAACTGCTCATTTGATTCCTCCTGCTGAAGTAAAAACAACCGAATATTTTTTAAATTTTCTAATGCTGCAGTAGCACTAATAATTGGAGTTTCAATACTGTCATCTATTTCGTCTTCATTCTCTATTTCATTTGAATCATCAGGATTAAACATACTAACAAGTTCCTCAATAATTTGGTCATTAGAAATATCATAGATAATATCTTCATCCAGAATAGTTAAAAATTCATCAACTCCCATTGCGTTAGAAAAAGAAAAGGAATCAAGTACATCAATAAGCTGATCACGCACTGGGTCATCGTTCCTAAAAAAAAAGGTATGTATATAAATAAATATTTATTCGAATTATTAATAATTAAACAACCAGAGCTTTTTATATAAACTATACATTATTTCAGTAAAGTAGCAATGCTAATTCGAATAGACAAAAAATTTTTTTTCATTTGCAAACTGTATGATCATATGCATTTCTATACTGTACTACTTTACTGTATACTTACCTAGTTCATGCAGAATTAACACTATTGGGAAGAATCTTTGTATTATTCCAACAATTACTAATAGTTTCAGCCGTGACTTCTTCCCAACCCTTAATAATATAATGAATAGCTTGAAGAACATTCATTTTCAAATCTTCAACTAGGTGGCCCTCTTCGACCTGTTCTAACATCCATCTAGATATTATCATAATATGCGAATGAATAAATTAATAAATTTGTAAATTAAGGTATCAGTAAATAGACAAACGAATAAAATTATGAATAGATTAATGAATAGATTAATAAAGGAGTAAATGAATGAGAGAGCAAATAAATTAATGTGAGAGAGCGAATAAATTAATGTGAGAGTGAATAAATTAATATGTGAGAGAGCGAATAAATTAATGGGAGAGAAAGCAAGTAAATTAATGAGAGAGAGCGAATAAATTAATTAATGTGTGAAAGAGAGCAAATAAATTAATTAGAAAGAGCGAGTAAATTAATTAATGTGAGAGAGAGCGAATAAATTAATGAGAAAGAGAGCAAATAAATTAATGAGAAAGAGCGAATAAATTAATTAATAAGAGAGAGAGCAAATAAATTAATGAGAGAAAAAGCAAATAAATTAATGAGAGAGAAAGAAAATTAATGAGAGAGAGAGCAAATAAATTAATGAGAGAGAAATCAAATAAATTAATGAGAGAGAGAGCGAATAAATTTAATAAATAGATGTATAGTAATAAGCAATGAAAGAGTGAATTAATGAGTGAACAATAAGCGAACAAAAGAATGAATTTATAAATGAATAGGCATAGAGGTAAGTGAACATGAATAAGTGAGCGAGCAAACAAATAAATTAATAAATTAGTAAATTAGAATACCAGCAAATAAATAAATGAAAAAGCGAACAATAAATTAAAAGAGAATAAAATTTATAAATTAATAATAAATGTGAACAGTTTTTGAATGTTATAAATTAGAGTTAAATTAATAAATAAAGAGCGAAAAAGCAAACAATAAATTAAAAGAGAATAAAATTTATAAATAAATAGTAAATTGAACAGTTTTTGAATATTATAAATTAGAGTTAAATTAATAAATTAATAAATTAAGAACGAAAAATTACAATAACAAATGAATAGCAAACAAATAAATAAATTAGTAAATTATTGTAGTAAATAAATATATAAAAACAAAAGACAAAAAAATAAAATTAGACCCTTCTAAATGCAACTTTATAGTATTTGGATCAAATTTGAGCTTGCGTTTAGGAAGGTCTGACTGTAAACTTACCGAAGTTGAAAATGACGATAATGTTTTTTAAAAGAAAGAATTATCCCGGCATCCATTGGTTGGATTTTTGAAGTGGTATTTTTAGGAAGAAAGTAAACATCTGTATTTTTAAGCCTAACCCCTCCAATTTTATGACTTGTGCAATTATCAAGTAGCAAAAGCACCCGTTGGTTTTTGTATTTTCGTGCCATTTGAGAATCAAATTCCTTTAACCACTCCTGAAAGAGAACAGCAAGCATCCATGCTTTAGCATTGTTTCGGTACATGATAGGTAAGTTTTGAATTTTAATATTTTTAAAACATCGTGGTTTGGCATATTTTCCGATTACTAATGGATTCAATTTATGTGATCCATCTGCATTTGTGCATAAAGCAATAGACAGACGTTCTCTATTTTTTTTGCGACCTGAAAGACGTTGTGTTGCCAGTGTTCGATCTGGTTCCAACCTGTAATTAAAATTTTAATAGTGATAATGATACAGTATTAAATAATAAATACTGTACTGTATTTTTTAAAAAAATAAAATAAAGTAAAATAAAAAAAAAACTGATAAAATAGCCCAGTTTCATCCATGTTATAAATTCGTTCAAGAGGATACTGGTTACATTTATCTTGCAAAATTGGTAAAGATGCTGCAATGGCATCATCATCAGCAGATGCTGATTCCCCATAAAGTAATACTTGGTGAATTCCATTACGATCTTTAAATTTCTGAAGCCATCCGTTAGAAAATTTTAACTCATTTTCTGAAATATTAAATCCTTTTGCCAATAATTTGGCTTTTTCAACGATTAATGCTTCACTCAAAATGGTTTTATTTTGATAAACAAGTATAAATTCTTTAAGAGCAAGTTCTAATTCTGGAAATGTAACAGGTTTGTGCCGTTTTGCATTCAGATTTTTTATTTCTGTCGTAAGACGTTCATCTTTGGTTTGTAAAACTCTTGTAATTGTAGATACACTAACTTTAATCCCCCATTTTTGCTCAACCTATTGAACATAATCTGATCTAGTTTTTTTGTTGTTATCACGAGCATAACGACAGAGCTCATATTTTTGAATTTCTGTTAAAGATTCGTGTTTGTGAGACATTTTGCAGATCAAATTTCTATTAATTTTATTATTTATAACAAAAAATCATATGAAAATCATATGAAATTTATATAAAAAAATATGTGCATTTAGTACTATAGTTCCGAGTTAAATTTTATTTAAATGTTTATTTAGAGAGGGTGTGCATTTGTAGAGGGAATTTTATATATAAAAATTTTAAAAATTCTTTGCACACATGGAGTATAGAGGGTGTGCATTTAGTATTATTGCCCAAACTTGGGACCATATTTAAGAGTTCATTTAAAGAGGGTGTGCATTAATAGAGGGTGCAATTATAGAGGGTTGACTGTATTATTATATTTTAAACTTTTCTTGTTATAAAAGTTCACTTATAAATAATAAAGTATTTTTTCTTTTATTATTTTATTTTTTTTTATTTTTTTGTCTTTTATTATAAGGCTACAAAAGTATTCTATTGCTAAACTATATGTGTTTCTTGTTTTTTTACGAACTGCAATAAGGCGCAGTAATTATTAGCGCATTACATACTAAGGCTCCAAAGTTTTATTTTATTTTTCTTTTTTTCCTTGACTCTTTTAAATATTATTATTATTATTATTATTATTATTATTATTATTATTATTATTATTATTATTATTATTATTATTATACTTATATCAAGCTCTTTTCAATTATTGCTATTTGGATATAAATTTTTTAATTGTGGGTTTGATACAACTAGAATATCTGTAATATCCTGAATTTTGTGTAATTTTTTTATCATTATAAAGGTAGAGTTCTAACGAGTGCTAATATCAGTTTCTGGTACTAAAACAGGATGTTTTTTTATAATAAAAATTTTTTTTAACTCTTCAAATAAAATTTGAGATGAGCTTATAATGTTCATAAAATCTCAAACTTTTTTAACTAAATTTTCTACTTCTTTAAAACCATCCTTTGCTATTAAGTTGAAAATATGTGCAGCACATCTGATACAACAAAATAATAAGTTATTATGATTATTTAATAATAATTGTGCAAGTTCATTTCTAAATGTATTCATATTCGAAATATTGTTTGTAGTTATTGCAATAATTTTATTGCCAGGACCAAAATAATTAATAGTTGTATAGGCAGTATTAGCAAGTATAGAACCTGAATGTCTTTTATAAAAAGGCACTAAATCCAAAAGAATACAATACATTTTCCATTTGCTATCAATCCAGTGAAGAGTTATAGACATATAAGCCTAATTTGTACATGCTGTCCATATGTCAGTGGTAAGTGCTATTTTATTATTATGATTATTGAAATATTCTTTAATTATTTTTTATTGTTTTTCATAAGTTCATTGTATTTTAGCAGAAACTGTTTGTCGGCATGGTAATTTATACCAAGAATTAAGCTCTGCTATAAGATTAATAAAATCTTCATCCTCAACAATTGAGAATGGTTGCTGGTTGCAAATAATCCACTGTATAAGCAAAGCATTAATAATTGCAGTTTTACTTTCATCTACTATATTATTTAACTCAATTTCTTTAACAGAAAATAAATTTTGTTCAATTACTTTCCACTCATCTTTGTGATTACTCATAAAATGACCTTTAATTGTACTAATACCCATATTAGAGCTATATAGATTTCTACATATATTACAGATAACATTTTTATAATCTTTACTCCATGAAAAGTAATTCCAAATTGGATGGCATGGTCTACTTTTTATTATTTGCCTTTCATATTCATCATTCTCAATATCTGAATCTTTACTTTCAGTAGGTGCTTTATTGAATATATTTTCCTTTTCATTTCCACTAGTTACTTCACTAGAAATTTCACTATTCATATTTTCCTTATCGCTTCTATTATTTTCATTTTCTTTCCATAACTATTAAATCATAAACATTCATTATATTTTAGAATATTAACCGAAAGGTCAATAGTTTCTTAAAAAAATCAGTTATTTAATTAACCTTTTTTATTCATATAATTAATTTAAAAATTACATATAAATTACATAATATTTTATATTTTCTGGTGATTTTAGCGATTATATAAAAAATTTATGAACTATGTATTAAAGATTTAACTGATATATGAAGCTTACATACTAATTATGTATTACTATCTATTCTAATTAATTGTATAACCTTGCGTAAATATGCAATTATTATAATATGAAAGATGAAACAATATAAATTGTATAAAAACTTGACTGGTATATAAAACTTTCATACCAATTACATATTTGATATTTATATATGCTTATTTAAATAATAAATATTCTAATCAATTGCATAAATCTTGCATAAAATTGTAAAAATGATAGGGTCTATGATTTGAATAATGAAACAATGATGAGTGATCTCACCCTACATATGACCATAATAAAGTAGTTTGTCAAAATCAAAATTTCTAATTATTTTTGCAAGTTTAACCGGTTAAATAAAAAAATCCGAACTAGTTATTATAACCAGTTACTTATATACTAGTTAATATAGTTTATGACGTATTAAAAAACTTGATAAACTAGCTAGTTAAACTGGTTTGACTCTGACGATAACCGTTTAAGTCCCGAACTGAGTCAATATAGTTAAATCCTAACTACTTAACATCCCTAGTTGAAAATAAATACCTTTAATTGCCTTTGAAATCATTTTTGTGCTAATAATTTTGCTTGTATACATTTTATCAGAATGCTTTGGTATAGGTATTTGCAATGATTTAATAACCTTATCAGCATTTAAGAATTGCTTTTTTATTTCATTATCATCTGAGCTAGATATTTTGTCAAGCCAATTATCTATTGTCGAACAAATATCATAAGCATCAGGCCGCTTGTTTAGGTCAGAATTCATACATTTCTCAGCAAACTCAATATAACATTTAGGTGTCTCTGGAGCAAACTCTGGTCGCAATCCTTTGCAAATCTTGACTGCAAGTTTAAGATCAAATTCATGTCCATCAAAAGGTCTTTGACCTGTTGACATTTCTGTCATAATAATACCAAATCCATAAATATCTGCTGCTTGCGTAAACTGCTGGCTGCCTGATAAAACTTCAGGAGCAACATAGGGCATGACTCCATAAATTTCACCAACTGAAATGTTTTCATTTTCCTTTATAGACAATCCTAGGTCTGCGATATAGGATTGTATATCTTCATTAGTGCGTTGGTCTTGCAAAATGTTGCCACTATGAAAATCAGCATGAATGTATCCTGCATATTTGTGAATATAATTTAGCTCTTTCGAAATATCTCTAAGTGTTTGCAATTTAGCCTTCCATGTGAGTTTACTAAAATTTTTTCTTAAATATTCATGAAGACTTCCATTATCAGCATACTGGAAGACCATCAAGTATTCTTTTGTTTCTGTGTTTTGGGTTATTCCATATATTGCAAGTTTACTATAGTGTAGTTTGCATTCCATGAGACTTTTAAACTTAAAGTTTAAACAATAAATTAATTCAATAATATATTAATAAATTAAAAAAGCAATAAATTGACATACTTCTTTTAAAAAATTAAAATTGTTTTCCTTAGAACTAGCCAATGTTTTGAATGCAACGATGCTGGATAGTTCACGCGTTCTTACATAATTATAATCATCACCATTAATTTTTCGCATACCGTCCAACCACGTTGCTTTGTATACGGATCCAAATCCACCTTCGCCAATTTTTATAATATTACTTAGTCTATCAAATGGAATCCATTCAATCGCATCTTCATATGCACGGGCTCTAAGTTGGAATTCCTTCATGCAGTCATCAATATCTTTATTCCCACTTGTCCACCTTGTTGCTATGTCAGGGTCGCATGATAAGCACCATGCTCTATTCGTGTTATCTTCATTACAATGAGCACATTTTCCATATTTAGATTCTCTATATATAAATATATATAATGTTTATCTGCATCACCGTACGTGCAATTTTAAATTATACAGAATGTAAATAATTTCTAACTAACCGACTAAATTAATGCGAATGAAATAATTTGTACGTGAATGTAAATAAGTATTTATTTATGTTCTTGTTTCGTGAACTTGTTTTGTTGTTTTTATTCGTAAAATTATTAAATGTTTATACTCACCAACTAAATTAACGCGAATGAAATGATTTGTACGTAATGGTAAATAATATTTATGTTCTTATTTCGCGAACTTGTTTTGCTGTTTTTATTTCTTAAAATTATTAAATGCTCTTTATACTCACTCACTAAATGAAATTATTAATGCAAATGAAATGATTTGTACGTAATGGTAAATATGTATTTATGCTCTTGTTTTATGAACTTGTCTTGCTATTTTATTTCGTTAATTATTAAATGTTCTTATACTCACCGACTAAATATGAATGAAATTATATGTACGTAATGGTAAATATGTATTTATTTCCTTGTTTTTGGACTTGCTCTGCAGTTTTTTTTTTTAGTAAAATTATTAGATGTTTTTATACTCACTAACTAAATTAATGCAAATGAAATGATTTGTATGTAATGGTAAATAAGTATTTATGTTCTTGTTTTGTGAACTTGTTTTGATTTTATTTTATTGAGCAAATTTATTAAATACTCACTTGCTGTGTGTGGATTAATGTGCATTAAATGATTTGCACGTAATGGTAAATAAGTATTTATGATCTTGTTGCTGTTTTTATTTTGTAAAAATTATTAAATGCTCTTTATACTCACTAACTAAATTAATGCGAATGAAGTGATTTGTACATAATGGTAAGTAAGTATTTATTGTTAATTTGATTTGCTGTTTTTATTGAGTAAATTTATTAAATACTCACTTGCTGAGTGTGGTGATTAATTCGAATGAAATGATTTGTACGTAATGGTAAATAAGTAGTTATGTGCTTGTTTTGTGAACTTGTTTTTGCTATTTTGTTCGTAAAATTATTAAATCTCTTTATACTCACTTACTGAATGCGAATGAAATGGTTTGTACGTAATGGTAAATAAATGTTTATGTTCTTATTTTGTAAATTTGTTTTGCTGTTTTTATTTCGTAAAATTATTAAATTTTCTTTATACTCACGGGCTGAATGAAATAATTCGTACGCAATGATAAATAAGTATTTTTGTTCTTGCTTTGCTATTTTAATTCGTAAAAAATCATTGTACTCACTAACTAAATTAATGCAAATGAAATGATTTGTACGTAATAGTAAATAAGTATTATGTTCTTGTTTTATGAGCCTGTTTTTATGTTTTTATTTCGTAAAATTATTAAATGCTCTTTATACTCACTTACTGAATGAAATGATTAATGCGAATGAAATGATTTGTATGTAATGTAAATAAATATTTATGTTGTTTTTTGAATTTGGATTGTTGTATTTGTTTCTAGAAATTATAAATGTTCTTTATACTCACGGACTGAATGAAATGATTTGTACGTAATGGTAAATAGGTATTTATGTTCTTGTTTTGTGAACTTTTATTTCGTAAAATTATTAATTGTTTTTTATACTCACAGGCTGAATGAAATAATTGTAAATAAGTATTTACAGTATGTTCTTGTTTTGTGAACTTGTTTTGCAATTTTATTTCGTAAAAATTATTAAATGTTCTCTATACTCACGGGCTGAATGAAACGATTTGTACGTAAGGATTTATGTTCTTATTTTGTGAATTTGTTTTGCTGTTTTTATTTTGCAAAATTATTAAATGTTCTTTATACTCACAGACTAAATTAATGTGATGAAATGATTTGTAAATTTATTGTGAACTTGTTTTGATATTTTTATTTCGTAAAAAAATATTAAATATCCTTTATACTCACATACTAAATAAATGAAATGATTTTGTACGTAATGATAAATAAGTATTTGTGTTCTTGTTTATGAATTTGTTTTTTTTGTAGCTTTTATTTCGTAAAATTGTCCTTTATACTCACCCACTAAATTAGTGCGAATAATATTAATGGTTTTGTGAACTTGTTGTGCTGGTTTTTATTTCATAAAATTATTAAATGCTCTTTATACTCACTCACTAAATAATGTGAATTAAACGATTAATGGTATATAAGTATTTATCTTTTTGTTTTGTGAACTTGTTTTTCTGCTATTTTCGTTAAATTATTAAATGTCCTTTAATACTCACAGACTAAACGCGAATGTAATTATTTGCATGTAAATAAATATATGTATTCTTGTTTGTGAACTTGGTTTGCTGTTTTTATTCTAGAAATATTAAATATACTTTATACTCACTAACTAAATTAATGCGAATGAAATGATTTGTACGTAATAGTAAATAAGTATCTGTGTTCTGATTTGTGAACTTGTTTTGCTGCATTTACTTTGTAAAATTATCAAATATTCTTTATACTCACTCGCTGAATGAAGTGATTAATGCGAATGAAATGATTTGTAAATAATGGTAAATAAGTAGTTACGTTCTTGTTTCGTGAAACTTGCTTTGTTTTTATTTCTAGAAATTATTAAACGTTCTTTACTCACAGACTAAATTAATGCGAATGAAATAATTTGTATATAATAGTATAAGCTTTTATATTCTTGTTTTGTGAACTTATTTTGCTGTTTTTAATTCTAATGATTAATAAATGATCCTTATACTCACGTGCTGAATAAATGATTAATGTGAATGAAATGATTTGTACGTTGGTAAGTATTTATGTTCTTGTTTGTGAACTTATTTTGTCGTTTTTTTCGCAAAATTATTAAATACTCACTTGCTAAATGTAGTGTTTTGTACATTGCGGTAAATAAGAATTTATGTTCTTGTTTGTGGACTTGTTTTGCTGTTTTAATTTTGTAAATTATTAAATGCTCTTTATACTCACGAGCTGAATGAAATAATGCGAATGGTAAATAAGTATTATGTTCTTGTTTTGTGAACTTGTTTTGCTTCGTAAGATTACGTATTAATGTTTTTTATACTCACTAACTAAATTAATGCGGATGAAATGATTGTACGTAATGGTAAATAAGTATTTATGTTTTTGTTTTGCGAACTCGTTTTACTGTTTTTATTTCGTAATATTATTAATATTTTTATACTCACGAGCTAAATGAAATGATTAATGCAAATGTATGTAATGGTAAATAAGTATTTATGTTATTGTTTTGTGAACTTGTTTTGTTGTTTTTATTTCGTAAATTATTAAATGTTCATTATACTTACGGGCTAAAAATGACAACAATAAGTATTTATGATCTTAAATTCAGATATAAATTTACGAATGCATTTATACTTACTCCCTAATAATTAAAAATTATATAAGAGATCTCAAAAATTTCTAATAAAGAATTTCAAAATATTATAATAAAAAAATTAATAATTAACTTACTTCACAATCCATTTACTAAATTCACTATAATTCTTTCCCACACCAATTCCATAATAGTAACAAATGGCAGTTTTCCAAATTCCTGTAGAATTGCCTGCCTCAGCAGATTTCAAATAATATTTAAACGCTTTATTCTTATCGATTTCGACGCCAATTCCTAAATAATAACAATATCCAACTTGATACGTTCCGTTAGAATCATTCATGTCTGCCGATTTTTGATAATGTGTGAATGCCTTGTTTTCATCCTTTTCAACTCCAATTCCATATTCGTAACAATATCCAAGCTTGTAAATTCCGTCTGGATCGTTCACATCTGCCAAATTTTGACAATTAATGAAATTTAATTTGTTGAAATCATAAATGATTTTTGTCATCTCTTCATTCGACATTTTGAAAAAAAGACAAATAAAGATATTAATGCATCGTATATTTATTGTTGCTTACAATCGTTATACAATATAATTAACTGGTACGTACGTATGTAGCATTATAGCCTAAATCATATTGGTGTAGTAGTATCAGTGCTACATTTAGCTTATAAACATAGATATTATTGGAAACTATGGTTACAGTGTACGTACATACGTACGAACAACCCCTTATTCCAAAAAATTTTTGGTCACGTGTTGTAGCAGCCAATCAAAATGAGCAAAGTATTCAAATATAAAAAAAAAAATCGGGTTAGGTGCAGTTTTAAGATAAAGGGGGTTTTATATAGCATAATGCAGACTAGATATAAGATTCTGATTTCAGTTCTCGTTAGGCTTTCGAGGGCACTTGGTATAACACCCCCGGTGAATTTCACATCTAAAATTCTCCAAAATTGGGGGTAAATTTTTTTTTTAATTTTAGCAATGTTTCACAACAACCATCGATTCAAATTCGATGAAAATTTTTTATTTATCTCTGTAAGCTTATAGAATTAAATAAAAAAGAATCATATCGGAGAATTTGCGGAATTGAACTAAATTAAGGTCCATATATTTTAACAATGCGATTGTAAAGCCTATCCAAAATTTTAGCTATTATGCTTTCTGCAATTTTTACATCCAGGGACCCAATTTAGATCCATTTCGCAAATCCGTCGATGTGTTTTCGAAATTGAATAGGTGAATTAGTTCAGATACTTTAATTTAAAAATTAAAAAAAAATTTACTAAAATTGATTTGTTTCTTTTCTATTAAATTCTTTTACCAGGAACGGAGTTTGTACAACGTACAACGTAGTGTATACCAGGAACGGAGTTTGTACAACGTACAACGTAGTGTATGGTTTACAGGCAAGTTAATATGCGTGTACAATTCTCGGCACTTGATTGGTCCTCGTGACTCTGTTCATCACATATCGTTATGCGTTGCCTATTTTTCGCATGCCATTTTTCACACCTTATATATGTGTGATAACGTGACCATTGCACCTGTGTATGAACTGCCTCAATATTTAATGTGACCAGTACTACGTACCCTTTATGTGTACAGTACAATGAACGAAAATAAAACCTGGAACCATATTAATTTACAGATGTTGTAATAAATGATAGTAAAAGCTTGATTTTTTGGCATAAATACTGGTGGCCCGATGTGAATTTTCATATATGTTCATTAGATTTTTTAGATTTTTTGTTTTTTTTCGTAGGATTTTTTATTGGGTTGATGAAATGATAATCACTGATCATCAAAGATTTGAGCGAAAATTTTTTTGCATGATTTATGCTAGCCGCTATTTCCCGTCTGCATAATGCAGGTCGACTATCAATATAACACTTGATATTGATTTTAGTAGCTATAATATCGATACGAAATAAATAAGAATATAAAATGGCAGAAGGAAGGGTTGGGTCACGAATTGAGGTCTGCCGGATTTGAACCGGTACTTGTTGATATAGAATCGCACTCGTGCTTCTCATGATTCTCATCACATCCCTTATTGAGTTAGAATTACTATATATGGAAGGTCATTTACAAATAATACATCTTTGAGAATATTAATTATTTTGTTCTAACCGAATATATACGTATATCTCGTACCGAATTTTTAGTGGTAAAGTCAGTGTGCGCTATGCTAAATTCAAGTATGTGAAAATACATTTAAAAAATTCTCTTTATAATATCTAATATCAGATATACTAATTTCCCCGTTCCTGGTTTCGCGTGACAACGTCGCGCAGCTACTTATTATATAATATATAAAAAAAGCATTATTACAGAATCTAAATCATGTTTGTCGATGATCAAAAAAAACGTTTTCTATCTTAAATTTGTACTTATGAAAACCGCTTTTCATGCTCTAACTAATAAATTCCTTTGTAATTTTGGTGCAACTTCGCTCTAATCCTCTTCTAATCCTAACCTAACATTAACTCAACACTAATTTCGATATCAGTTTAATGCAGTTCGAGGTCGACCAATCTAGGCCAAATATCGACAAAACCGGACACAGATTTTTATGTGAAATTATTATTGATTTAATTTAATAATATTAATAACATACCAGAAATTCAGTATAATACCTATATGAATCTGATATATGTAACAGATAGCTATATTTATTTTTTAACTAGTGTTATCCATATTTAATCTTTAATAACATTAAAGACTTTCGCTATGCGTAAATAAATATATAAAAGTTTATGTTGCATAGATAACATAGGTAACAGGGGATAACAGCTATTATCTAAGATAACTATATTTAAAAAAAAGTGCTTATTCTTATGGATAATTTGGATAAGTAAAGTTGTCTTAATTTAATTACCAGATCTTGCTTCGATAAATTTTGATGGTTTTTATAAAAAGGTAAAAAAAAATACCGATAGATATTTGATTGCTCCGACATGAATTAATCGAAATTATATTCTGATAAATATTTATTAGACTTATAAACTGAAGGCTTCATAATATGGTCCTGATCTTAGCTATTTGCTAGTATTCATGATATGAAATTATTCAACCTGTGCATTATTCGTCAATTTTTGTACAGTATAGTATACTCACCTAAATTCCTTGCCAATAATGTTCATATTTACTGCTAAATTCGGATTATTTTATATTCTCAGACTAAGTGAATATGAAATGACACATGCAAATATTGATATGCCTATCTTTCCTTTGTGAATATAATTAGAAGTTATTTACGAGTCTTGAATATTTTTATAACTTATCATTATATAAGTAGTCTTTAACCAATTTCGGGAATTTTTTTTTTCTTTTTATCCACCCATAGGGCGTACTCGATTGCACCATAATAACATTAAATCAAATAATGTTACATCATAATAACGTTACATCAATTTAAAAAAAACAAACAAATTATTATCAGTTATCGTATCAATGTTTTTACATTATGTTAACACGTGTGTTAATCTATATTGACGTATTAAGTGCTCATAATTATAAGTCAAAAATTTGTTACAGCATTTAAATAATCAGAATTAAACAACTGCAACCTCAAATTCAGGCAAATATACTGTATGCTCATTTTCCATATTGAATTTTTTTACTGTTCTAAATAAATACCAAAAGTTTAGTTCTCACAATATATAGTTAGATTCCGCAATTCAGCAAATTGTCGACTAACATAAATAAACGCAATAATGCCGTAAAATAATGTAATTCAGCCGCAATTTAATAATTTTGACGTTATTATTATGTAGAGGATTTGACTATATCTGTCAAAAAAAAAAAAACGTTAGAGAATATATATATATAACTATTAATAAATGAAGCTCCTAAAAAACAATCATATTTCGTTCAATAATATAGTAGATTTTCATGATTATCACAATAATTTGTAAAAGTGACTTTTATAAATAACAATAAGTAGAAGTCTTTCATAAATTGAATTAAAGTTTCATTGAGTATGGCAAAGAATTTTCTATGGTTCGAACTAGATGTAGCAATGATACGTACATCAGGAGACAGAGTCATAAGTCCGAATACGTATGACCGATTATTATACGAACAGGAGAGTTCCATTGATCTTTTACTTACTTTGGAAACAAAATTTGTGCTACGATTTTCATTTTGACATCAAAAGTATCACAAAGTTAAAAATTATATATTTTCCTATTTCGAAACTGCATGAATTTAAAATTACAGTTAAATTTCAAGTGCCACTAGTAAGTGGAACTGAGATACAGGATGCATTTGTAGGGGGTGTGCATTTATAAGACGTGCATTCAAGGAAATAATTCATGGAACTCCGACTTTAATACAATATAAAAATTAGAAATTGTAATAAAGAGTTAACGTTACCAACAACTATTTAAGTTAGAATTATGATTGGGAACATAATATACCACTTGTGGTACTTGATTATTCGCAATATCATCTTCAAGTCGACTACCATTAACTACTTTTGCACAACGGGTAGGGTTATTAGTAATCGTTGTAAAAGAATAAAAAGGATTATGTTTTCTCGCATATAATCTGGAAGCACCATCAGTTGCGTTCAAGAAACAATTTTCGGCTAGAGTTTTTTAAATTAATAAAATTTTTTAGCGTAGTGAAAAATATATGTAAATGTATGTGTGCAATATTATATAGCTGTGTTTTTTAAAAATGTACACAAAGACTTACGAAAGTTTTCCATGTAACCCTTCCATGAAACATTTTTACTTTCAAGGAGGTCCACCAGAGTAGTAGCATCAATGTCATAATTTCCGTCATCCAAAATTCCGTAAGTTGAGCCAGCAATTTGTGCAATATAGTTAGGCTAGATAAAAGGAAATGATTAATTAAATTATATAGGATACATTATAAGTGAAGCTAAAAAGCCTACCTCACTAGGATGTTCCACGGCATAGAACTCAGAAAGAAAGACACCTTGTGACCTCGTCGTGAGTTCTTTGAAGTATGGATCCGCAAAAGCCACGGATTGATTCGTATTTTCGAAGATAATTAAAACAA